TTATAATCATTCTACTGCTGTGTCTAAATATTACAGGTTAATTTTGGTACGCTACATGTGTAATGTTTTGGCGTTTGGATACTAAGTTTCTTTTATCCGGATAATGGCGTAAACGTTTAATTCTGTTTTGAGATCATGTATTGGTTTGGTGCAATTCGTATGTTGTATATTATTTTCGGGGGAATCTGTCGAAGTTCGCGGGTCGATACATTGACAGACAGGCTATTGTCATTTTGTCACAAAGCTGTTGAGGCAAAATAGACGATATCTGATCTATTCGGGAGTGTATCACTCTGATCTTGTCTGCGGGCATGTATCAGTGAATCATTATTCTCTTTATTTCCCCCAAATTGAAGATTTTATAGACAGAACAATATATTTTACACACAAGATTTTGATAATCATTTCAAGTTTCAAACACTAAAGTTGATTCTCTTTGGTCCACAGTATGTCTTACTATTAGCAATGTCTCCCAAACATACTCACATGTAAGTAATTGATAATTTTTCGGACTTTGAAGAAATCTAATTTATTCGAAAGGTTGGAGACATGATAATGGTCATGACGATAAAGAAATGAAATAGTTTTTCACTACAAAGCAGTTTCACAACTTCACTGTTCGGGCTGCACCGGAGTAACCTCCCTTGGCGTTACTGCGCCCCATCAAAAATATATGATGTAAAATGCATATAGTTATAGCCATAAACATGATGTTATAAGTTAAATATTAACTATCGTTCTAGTATTTCTGCCTTGTGTAGAAGAGTAACATTATGTTAGGTGAAACATTAAGGAAGTGCCATATATGATGAATAGTTTCAATAACTTTTCAATATTTCAGCGTATATATGTATACATTGTACAAAGTGCATCCGATGTAGTCATAGACAAACTATAATGTCACCGACCAAGCATGTTTAACATGATGAGCTTCTACCACATGTAGAAAGGTTACACTCTGCCGTTATGACGTATTTCGCTGATATTTACGCGAGGTCAAAAATAAACGACCCATGAAGAACAGGATACATGATAATATTGATTCAAACATACTTTATTGCCATAATCATTAGCAACAGGATTGGGTCCACGTTATTACAACATTATTTAAGCCCTTTCCCAAAACAAAAAACAAGTTAAACTTAGTGTAATTTAAAATTTATCACTAGATTTAATGACATTGTACACATTTCGGAATATCATTTCATGATTATAGTCAGAATATATCAGTCAATGTATGTGTATAGATATTTTGCTGATATTTATCCGATGTCAAAAATATGAAAAATATTCAATCAAATTAAATTAAGATATACCGAAATCAATAACAGATATCAATTGATGGAGTTATCTTCCTTCACAATACCACAGCCCTTTATAGTTTAGGCACAGGGAGAATTAGTATAATGTATGATTTACTTTACACAACGTGTCGTTATACTACCACATTCCTTAATGTAATGATGATATTAACCGGATGACAACGAAATCCGACTCACTCGGTGCATATATGACATATATCCTTCAATTAGGATATGGAAAGGATCGTTATCAGACAATGAGCGTAAATACTTGCTAAATGTTATGTGTCACTTATAACGTCATTACATAGACTGTCTCGTAAAAACTGTCAGTACGTTCACACTGCACGACAATAATATTATGAACAGCAACATCGTTATACATAAAACCACATTTATCACATAAATCTTCTACTCTTCCAAAATGAAATAGTTGAATTTTTACTTCTTTTTTTTCATTTTAGGGACAATAATCTTATTTTGTATGTACCTTGCCTCGAAAACATTAATCGCACGAGTGAATGAATAGGCGTAGAACTGAGAAGATTACTACAATCTAGGCCTTTAGCGTATTTTAATCCCCATCCAAGCATGTATATTCATGTACATATTTGTTTCGAATTTAATTTAAAAATGAAATTGTTTACAGTCACAAATGATAAAATTATTGCAGACGGTACAATTTCTGTTGTAATTATCATTTATGTATTCAAACCTGATCACCACAACCACAGGGATTTACGATTTACAGTTATTTACAATCGAGGGATGGTTGAGGGCGGGGCAGGACTGACAGTCATACGATAGTCACGTTGGGCGCCTCACGGTACGGGGAAGGGGAAGGGACCAGGGAGATGGAATAGAATAGATCGGTACAGAGTAAAGCAGAGGGTGGGGTAGTGTTTCATATACACAAGTATTCAAATGTGTAGTTGTGTATTCGGAGGTAATTACAATACCACAATACACATAATTTAAAGCACCACATACATGTACGTACGTAATTCCATAAATTTTTCATCACTCCCGGGAACCATGTGATCGCGTCATATTCCGACCCACTTAAGATAGCTTCATATTTTATATTGTTTGGAGTGGTGGGTCCAAGGTCACCTTAGTTGAGATTTGGTCGCGGTAATTGTATTCTGGTTTTGTGAGGCAGACTCTGAGGGTGACACAGAATATATTACAGAAAACTAGACGGGATGGGTCCTATTATGTAGATATACCTGGACTTTTACTTTGTGATGTGCTCTTTATAACTATTTAGTATATTATACGTTTATAATACTGTTTGTTTATTTATTTATTTCATGGGTGTTACGTGAACTAATACGGCCTTTCGACCTTTCATGCAAACATAAACTATAAAGGTCACCACAGGGGTTTGTCTGGATGAGATAACTACGGTTAAAATACGTATTTTTTATATCTAACTTCTGATCCCACCCCAGAAGCCCCAAACCCACCACACCCACTTCCCCACCCCAATAATTGATAATTAATTGAAGCTCGTAGCCTGAACATATTACCTTCTTCTAAATCAAAAAGCCGTCCTGTATTAGTTTTAACTTAGCTTGGTAGTTGCCTGTGTAAAGCTAACATTGCTCCACACTCCACCACTGACATTTTTTTGTAATGTGCTCACACAAACACAAACTGGTTGTATCAGCAGAAATACAGACAATTAAGTCGATTTCACCTTACGTGTATATTTCTCTACGACGGCGTGAAATGTAATTTACATCGTCATATTAGTGTACGAAAGAAAAATGTCATACACAATACAGAGAGTCACCTGATGTAGGTAATACATTCTACTATATACAATGCATATACCTAGACTTTTCTCCTGACACGTGATATTATATCAGAACTACAAACCGATAGAATATGATTGTACTTTGTTTATTAAAGAACGAAAACGTTAAAAAGAAAAATGAACCAGTAGTCGGAACGAGATCATAAATCATGGCGAGGATCCTACAAACAGGATGAATGTTGCAACGAGCATGCGTCATCGAACACATGGCGTGCGATTTCACCTGAGTGAGGTGGGTTTTCTGCTGATCAACTTCCCGATAAGACTATGTTTGTTTATTATCAAAATTATGACTATGACATTTAAATATCTAAACCAAATACGAGTTTTTTGTCTTTGTACAATGAAAGATTCCTAAAAGAAATAACGACTGTTAAAGGTGTAATAAAGATGTGTTAAAATTAGAACACATGGACGAGATATAAAAGACGACAATGCTTTTTATTCTGGTTAACTTACCTGTATCAATGTGTGTGTACATATAAGGTACTAGTATCTGGTGGTTGTGTCAGCACTGTGGGGCGGTGTACACTCCCAGAGCACAAACAATGTCATTTCTGTTCACGAGTTCAAACAAAACAAAAATCAAATTAACAAGGTATATCTTAACATTTATATTTTGTTTTAAAATATGCAGCGAAGAAAAGGAAGTGCTGTTGACGACGAACAACAATCGCATATATTGAATCCCGTACAGTAAGGAAGTATAATTTTGTGAATCATCACTTGGAATTTAAGTAGGGGAATTTTTAGTTATTTTTAAGATACGACTTGAAACGTTAAACCAGGAAGAATTCCAAATTACTTCCTGTTCGGCAAAAAAAAATAATGGTAAATAATTTTAGATACAAAACTTTCATGGAATGTATTAAACTACCGCACAATTTCAGTCATTTTGTCGTTACAAACTTATTATACCTATTCCGAGAAGCATAATATCACTATTGTACTTTTAAAAAAATATTTAATCCGGTGATTGTCCTTAAATTATGTTGATTACATTAACATATCACGGAATTGACCTCTATTTTGCTACCTCTGTTAATACAGTAGGTAAACATTTAAACACAGTTAATAAAGTTTTATTATTAATTCATATCTCAAATATGAAAATCAATACATAATCATTGACTTGCAGTGAATTTTCCCTTTCAGCAATACTGTCTGATGGATATTTAGTGTTAATGTATTGTCCCGTCTTTCACTCACTCCTATTTTACACACGTTAGTGATCGTGTCACCAATATAAGTAATCCCGGCCCGGATAAAAAATTGAAACCAAAATTTGAAAGATTATAAGTTACCATTGTTCTTTTCAAAAGGTATTTTTCCAAACATGAACGGTTCAGTTACCTCTAATTTGTCATTAAATGTTAAAATTTTAATACCAAGCCAAATCGCCTTGCACATTGTGCGATTTTGGTTATTGTATATTACGAGGCTGGTTTGTTGACTCATGTCTATTTTAAGTGGTTGTGTCCCGTGCGCTTTTCCGTTGTGTACAGCTCGTAGGTTTGGCATATTATCATTATATACCTTTATATGGTAATATATTATGATAATTCCCTAAATATCCAAATTTCCTAGTAGGTTATATACGGACATTGTACACACACATACGCTCTATACGTGGCCCTCGTTTTTACCTGGGTGAAAAACATGAAATTCTGGGCGGAGCTTATCGCCGAACTCTGCTACTCACCCATGTGTATCTAGGCGGTGAATGGTGTATAAAAATAGCCCAAACGCTTTCTAGTCGTATTGCCTTATAAGGATAACTACATCTCCTTTTATGGTATTGCCGAGATCGAGCGTGCCAACAGCTGAACATTCGAGTTCGAGTGCGTTTAAAACTGTGCATTCAGCCGGTATTCTGTCACTTTGCCGTTGACGGTCGAGAGGAACACACTGAATATTTCTTTTGGGTAGAATTTGGGGTAGACACCTAAACCATCAAAATGTGTGACGATGATGTTGCTGCTTTGGTTGTAGACAATGGGTCTGGAATGTGTAAAGCCGGTTTCGCTGGAGATGACGCTCCACGTGCCGTTTTCCCCTCCATCGTTGGAAGGCCCCGTCATCAGGTAAGAAAGTGGTTTTTTTAAATTAGTTGAAACTGGAGTTTTTGTAATTCAATATTGTATTTGAAGAAAAGATTTCCATTATGAAGTATACTGTGGTTATTAAAGCAACTTTCTGCTAAAGATTGTGTTCTGGTATGAAATATCTCGCTTTATGCTTGTATAATATTGGTTCATTTTGTCCGACGGAATTCCATATTTGAATTCATAATTTTAGGTTGAATGTTCAATTGCTTTTACTGATGAGCTGTAAAGTATTATTATACACCGTTTCAACTAAATTTATCCGCAAGCCTTCAATCAATGAATTGAAGAGCCCTAATGGTATGTACATGGGCGTTGCCCGACCCGGCATATTTAGTGTCGACATTGTAAAGGAAGTACAGATATTCTAGAGTATCTTTATCTATATATCATTTGGTATATACACAACAAGAATTCTGGTCACAGCGAGATTAAATTGTGACAAAAATTGCCTTTAAATTTTGCAATGGTGAATTGGCTGCGGCCTCCAGACTCGTTTGGCCACGCCCTACCGATTTGAATGAACGTTCTCGTTCTTGGCATAACTACTCGTTTATTTGCATAATTGTCTTTAATATTTAACTAGTGAATGAAGTTTTCAACATTTGAAAACCGAACTATTAAAATTGTCCTGAATATTAGTCATATTTGTGTAGTGATCGTTTGCTATTTTTAGGCTTGGTCGCTAACGTCATAGTATGCCGGCGCGCTGTCGTTGATGGCCTAGATTTTGATTTCGCGCATGGTTAGTTGGATATGGGCAATCCCAAAGTAGATTCATATCCTGTTGTCTGATTTTTAACAAAGTATTTTTTATATTCCAACGAACTAAAATACAAACTGCATGTCTTTTGATGCACGCATGTGATCAGGTTGTCGATATAGGGCGAACGGTGACTTCATTGTTAGGTGTGCCGGCTACTCGACCCGATCGATAAAGCTGCGTGCGTGTCGTGTCTTTGAATACTTTGCATATGTGTAGCCCACGGTATTAAGCCGGCCGGCATGTTAGCGACAGATGGGAAAGGTGTCGACATAAAGACTGGAGATAACAAAATTCGAAATAGTTTCTAGAAAGATATTGAAAACTGGAATTTCCTGGTCGACATCCATACCTACGTATAAAAATGTTTCCCGATTAGGATTTCAGTTTAGAAATCCTTTAACTTGGGAGAAAAAGAAAAAAAATTCCTTTCCATCGGCAATAAATTGTATGTAAAAAGAATTAATTGTCTCTCAATATATATACGGACAAAATGAATACTGTTGCATGTGTTGTCATGATAGCTTTTATTTCGCACATGAACACATTTTTATGTTTAAAAAACTTTTCTTTGTAGGGTGTGATGGTTGGTATGGGTCAGAAGGACAGCTATGTCGGTGATGAGGCCCAGAGCAAGAGAGGTATCCTCACCCTCAAGTACCCTATCGAACACGGCATCGTCACAAACTGGGACGATATGGAGAAGATCTGGCATCATACCTTCTACAACGAGCTCCGTGTCGCCCCCGAGGAGCACCCCGTCCTCCTGACTGAGGCTCCCCTCAACCCCAAGGCCAACAGGGAAAAGATGACACAGATCATGTTCGAGACCTTCAACTCCCCCGCCATGTACGTGGCCATCCAGGCCGTACTGTCCCTGTACGCCTCTGGTCGTACCACCGGAATCGTGTTCGATGCTGGAGATGGTGTGTCCCACACAGTCCCAATCTACGAAGGTTACGCCCTTCCACACGCCATTCTCCGATTGGATCTCGCTGGACGTGATCTCACTGACTATCTGATGAAAATCCTTACAGAGCGTGGTTATTCATTCACAACCACAGCCGAGAGAGAAATCGTAAGAGACATTAAGGAAAAATTGTGTTATGTAGCACTTGACTTTGAACAGGAAATGCAGACCGCAGCATCCTCCTCATCACTAGAGAAGAGCTACGAACTTCCCGACGGCCAGGTGATCACCATTGGCAACGAAAGGTTCAGGTGCCCAGAATCTTTGTTCCAGCCTTCATTCCTTGGAATGGAATCTGCAGGTATTCACGAAACCACATACAACAGTATCATGAAGTGTGATGTCGATATCCGTAAAGACTTGTATGCCAACTGCGTGCTTTCCGGTGGTAGCACCATGTTCCCCGGTATTGCTGATCGTATGCAGAAGGAAATTGTCGCCCTTGCTCCACCAACCATGAAGATCAAGATCATTGCTCCACCAGAGAGGAAATACTCCGTCTGGATCGGAGGCTCCATCTTGGCTTCTCTGTCCACCTTCCAACAGATGTGGATCAGCAAACAGGAATACGACGAGTCCGGTCCATCCATTGTCCACAGGAAGTGCTTCTAAACATAGGAAAATCCACGAATATGATAATTCTACACAAATAGAACAATGATCTGATGGGAACATCTCAACTCTATTGTTGAGTATTGTGTCCCAAGAACTGTAAACGGTGCCACCAGGTTTCTGCAAACAGGAGACGCTATGCAATATAAATCACTAACCTCGCGACGTTCAGTTAAGTTGCAGTTCCTCTCTTAGGTAAAGAGACGCACGTGTTTTACAGATGGTAATACGGTCCGAACACATCGTCTGTGCTATACCTACCCCAATTTTGTTATTCATTATCACATTATCAATGTGAATAAAGTTCATGTATGTATATTGTAATAATAAATTTTTTATTTTGTATACTAGAAAAGGCGTCATGTACCCTTTTTTGAACAAGATTCACACAAGTTTGTACGTTTGTTCACACAATTTTGCCGGAAAAAACATTTTGAAAACTTGGGTATTTAAGAGAGAGAAAAAAAAAACAAAAAAACAAAATGATACAAAATCTTGTGCGAATCTTGGTGGGATGCACGTGTGTATTTGCGAACACGGAACAAACATCGTCCCCAGTCAGGCTGACGATATGCGACAAAAACGTGCAAAAGGCACATTAAAAATACATCTACTTAAAGAAATTGAAAGTTTTGACGAACATTTATAGGAAGAAAATGGCTTTGTTCTACAATCGAATCAATGTATCAAAAAGAATCTCCCAATAATCACAATCTCCTGCAATTGAAAATGGTAATTAGATATAATGCCAGATGCTACACGTCAATGAAAGGGCTGTTACATAATCAACTTTGCAATAAGACCGTATGGTTCGATTATAACTTAAAGTAACGTAGATTGCAGCGACGATGGGATATTTTTCATTATTGCTTTAAAATGGCCTGTTGGTGGGGGAAAGTTTTCGTCTAACCAAAATGGAATCAGAAGAAAATACAATAAGACGGCAAGGTTATTTCCAATCGCTTGGGGGCATCGTTGAGATGCATATTAACGGTACATTGATGAAAGCGATCAATACTGAAGATCGCCCACCAGATATTTTCCGATCTAGAGTTACTTCCCTTGACGGCTTCCCATGTTTAGGTAGCAGTGATCTGGATTATCTGGAAATTCATGACCGATTATTGATATAAGATCGATTTGATAATGTGAAATACCAGAGTAGAAATGATAATTGGAAATTTATCGACTAAATTGGACTGCTGTTGTCGAAATATAACTGAACACGATTGGTTTCAACTACGACACGAAGAGGTACTTAATGTATACCTTGATTTGAAGATGCCCGATCCACCTTGTAAGATTGTACAAAATACGCACAAACGAATCTCTTCTATAAATAATTTAGAACGAGATACAGTAGAGTCAAACTATGAATTACTGCCTCACGCAGCTGTTTCGTCCTAGGACTCCTTAGTGGTCCTAAGGACCTTAAATTTGAAGCCTTAGAGGCGACTAACTTGGTATATGAAAAATATTTGATCACATTTAGGCGAGTTTCGATGAAATAAAGATGGAACTAAAGTCGGACATAGGAATATAAAACTTCCTTTCTATTGGGCACTGGGATATACACAGAAATAACATCGAACAGTTTTTATAAATTCTGGTTTTATTCCAAACCGAAAGTGATTACATGTATGCCGCCCTGAAAGACTGGTCAGAACTTTGATTCACAGAAATTTTAGAAATTTGACAAAGTAATCCAGCATAAACGGCTTGTAAATCCAGCTTTGAAACTACTAAACTATTTTTCACACTAGAGGCCATACACATAATAGCCGATACCATCTAATTTATTTTCAAATAATGAAATGTTTTGGATGTGAATTGAACCTAATCGCGATGATTTGTAAGGTTTGCTATACACTGAACGCTGAACAGTTTTTATTTTCTTGCATTCAACTTCATTTCCGTTACGTAAGTGCAAGTGATCTCGACCCACCACACGGATAAAGTGAATCAGTTGATGTGAAATAAGTGGTACTCTCCGTATTTGACCATTGCCGTATGAGCTACCACATACTGCAAACTTGTATATTTCCGCGGATAGCTAATTTGGGGGTTTCATCAGACAATCTGATTGTCCTTTCTTTTCCCCTTTCCTTTTTGTGTTGAGGTGCGGGAAGGGGGATGAGAATAAACGTACATTTCAGTCCCTAAATGTCATGAAAAACAATATCGAATCAAATGTGTTTAGAATGTAATTAAAATCGGCGAAAAAATGTAGGAATATTTGTTAATGGATAGGTACTAACCAAACAAAACTTAATTTAGCACTTGGAAATGTTAAATTTTCGTTTTTAAGAATCAGAGTGAATTATATCTTTTAGTGGAGACATATATTCAAAGTAAATGTAAACGTGGACAGGAATGCCAAAAAGTAGAACGATTTCTAATGTAGGTGATAGGTGACGTGTATTCCTTTGGTATTCTTTAACGTTTTATTCTAGCAGAAAACTCATTCATGACGTGTGTTTTACAGGTAGACCCGAGTTTTCTCTGACTTTTATCAGACATAAGCCTTTCTGACAGAAAAATCCTTACCAATCTGTCCATCAAGATGTCTTAACGTCTGGTGTAGGAACCAGAGGAAACTTCGCCCAGCGTGCGGGTACTCGGCATGAGACACGTACTGAATGTATGTAATTTTTACTGAGAGAGAAGTGCTGGCTGTCTGTAGATTCTACACTTAAATACCTATTTTGGGTTTACCAGATTTTCTAAGGTGTGCACTTTACTTTGTCTTCTATATACAAGATGAAACCGGTTCCATCTTTATATGTATTTTAACTAAAAATTCTATAATGTTGTCGCTGTTTTTCACCAAAATTTCCTATTATCAATCTGGTGTGGGTGTTGTACACACATAACGGTAAGATATAACTTAAAGCACAAAGATATGTCAATAGGGTAGCCAGGAGCTCCAGGAATGTTGGTCACCGTTCCCATTTTCAGTTCTTTTACTGATTGGTTTACTAAGTGTCGCAGAGACCCAATAAATTTCTCCGTGTTTTAGAGGGTTAGAGGTCTGCACATACTACACCGGGTTTTGACGGACGTATATCCTGCCAAATTATATAAAAAATGTCGTTTTCACGAGAGGAAAGGTAAAGCTGACATATAGTCACACACCTTGTTTTTTCAAAGATTTATGTGGTTTTCAAAATTCATTTTTGGACGTTTTTCTTGTGTTTAAACTTATTTTTGGAGTGTTTAATTTGTTCGACGCGTTAAGTGTTGGCTGTGACTTGGTAAGGATATGATATACTTAGTGTATTACTTACCGATGGCTCCGATTTTAAGGCTAGTTAACGAAATAATATGAAAACATACATGTGGGTATGGACTAATATGTTAGTGTATTATCAGATTATAGAGGGTTAAAGAAGAATTCTGTTGAAATGACATCCACCTGAATCTAGAGCTTTCATGTATCATACTTGAGGTAAACAATGTGTATGGAAAGGGCGCAATCAGTGCTTGGAAAAAAATGATCGGCTTACAAAATTTATATATATCTCTCTCTCTCTATATATATACGTATTTAATTTTCTTTCAATACCCTCATATGTCCACAGGAAGTCTATACCCTTACGCAAATATCAGCACCGTTTCCTCATTGAATACACAATTCCTGTATTTCAACTTTTGCGAGACCAAGCCAATTTTTGTGTCTTGTCATTGAACCAAATTGTCTCTTCTTTAGTATTAAATATGTCAACCAAGATGTACGAAATTGGTCACGAGATACGAGGTACAGGTAGCCCCTGTAGTAGAGTCTTTTTTTCCAAACCTATTATTAACATGTTAGCCCTGTATTTTTGTACAATAAAACACTTGATAACGGCCCTATCAATGCTCCGTGACTATCGTTCTGGATGAGCACTTCAAACACAATGGACAGCCACATGCATCTTTTTGACCTTCAACTTTGCCCATCCTCGGGTTACAATAACACTCATTGTCGCTGTGCATGTTTAAGTAGACGGTTATGTTAGTTTTGTCATAAATATTATCTTAAATTTTGATATTTTTTAAATTTTGATATCTTTTGTATGTCCATGGGACATGTTTTAAACACAAACTCAAAATACGGATGTGACGATACAGGTCAAACTTTGTAATGAGAAAACTTGCATCTTTTAATCTACATTCCGCAGTATGATCTATGTCATCGTCAAATTCCTGTAAACATCATCAACGACGGTGAAATTAGGACCTAATGTGAGTAAATCACAGTTTCTTGATACTGTCCTCTGTCTAATAGGATAAACAACAACAAATACAAAAATGTATTTTCTTGCGACAGAAGCACTGCGATTTGTTTTATTAGATAAAACGAATCAATTTTTTTTTTAAAAATCACGCTTCATTGACAAAACGTTGCATATATTATGCACCTGAGAGAAAAACTGCATACCCATAAATTAGTGGATCAACTATTCAATACTATTTCCGAATTATCTTTCGTTAAACTATTAAAAGGGGATATAAACAGTAAATCCTCACGGTTTAGAAAAAATAAACGATTTTTAACGTCTGCCTGCCTCTATCTGTGTCACCTCCATGACGCATACAGGTAACACGTGATATGAACGTGCACGTGCAAATCACAGACCACCACGCCACATATTGCCCACGCATAACATAGCGAAAATAACTTCATCCTAATTCCTACTAGTCAAACGGTTGAAATTATATACATTTTCAGAGATAAAAGTTTTTTTTTCTGTATAAAAATTTGAATCTTGTCTAGTCCTGCTGAAATATATATTATATTTTAAGATGTATTTATTCAATTCAATTACAATTATGTATGTATATGTCTAGTTTACAGAGGCCGTTTTGTGACATCCCGTTTTCTTGTGTATTGAAAAACGAACTTCCACCAAAGCGAAATAACAAAAAGAAGACAAATACAACCAAGAAATGTGCAATATGTTTCAGCAAAATATCAGTAAGTTTTGAACATTCGGCATATATGTAACAAGGGAAGTAACTCTTACTAAATTGTCGGACTGTCTTCTCTAGTCCGGGGACTGTTGCCATCCCATCCCGTTGTATTCGTTTTCATTTCTTTACATAACAACCCATGTCATATCCTCGGAATGTCCACAAAATAAAAACACGTTGGAGGAAATAATTTCCTTACGGAGTTAAATTTCCTTGATTATCTTTGATTATGAGCTAATACCACAGAAAAAAGTCTGTTAGAAATAACTAATTTCTGAAACTTTATTGAAAAATAAAAAAATAATCAATGGATTTGTTAATTAATAAGTTGGATATGATAGGAACACTGAGCCAGTCTACCAGTCCGTTACGGCATTGGTGATATTGTTGTTACCGAAG